CTATATATATATATATATATATAGTCAACAATAAAGTGTGTGAGAGGAGGTAGGTACCTATCGCAAATGCATTTTCAGTGTAAGAAAATGTTAACCTCTGATACAATCTCACCTCCTTTCACACAAAGCTAGAATTCCACATTGTAAAGGATGGACGGAGCTGGTGTAGACATTCAACATTGAAACCAAATGGAAAGCGACCACCCAGAATGAATGGGTGTGCTCCGAGATGAAACTGAAGCACAGGTGTTGGGTATGCACTACATCTGGAACAGGTAAGCTCTTTACCCTTGAAGCAGGAAATGAATCCGATACGGGCAAAGAATAGGATGTGCACAAGTGCAATTTGTTCGGAGAGATGCAATCCACAGTAAAATAAAAATTGAATGAAGTACGTAGATACCTAACCTATACTGAACAGACATAACTCATCCTCAACATTAGGAGGTTGAGGATCAAAACAGATCAAATATTGTAACATAAACATAGTGGCTAGAGCATGTGGACCGTGTTACATATACTCATCAACCCCAAATGTAAGTAAACAGAGTGTCACATGTCAAGCAACCAGAATTACAAAGAGGAAGTTAGCAGTCAGCCAAAACTAGATAAAGTCCTGAAACCACCATAGGAACAGTGTATGTGCATCCCGCTGCTGGTATTATGAGGCAGATGAAGTCCCCCAAACTAAACCTCCTGCAACTGGAATTAATGAGAAGAGGGGGATGCTACTGCACACAACTGTAGGAACAGGGTGGTGTCATCCTGAACCCGGTATTACGAGGAGGATCCTGCGTAGGCTGCTCCTGCTCCAACCGACAGTTGTCCACCTGTGAAAAAGCATTCAGGGTAAACAGAAGGAGGGAACAAACGTTGCCCTCTTTTCACTGAGTAGAAAATTATGAGTATGTATGGTAAATTAAAATTCAATAATACATTCAGGAGGAAGCCTCCATGGTCCACCATCCCAGCAACTGGAAAATGGTAAGGACTCCCTTGCTCCACTGGAGGAAAAAAGGGTGAAGTAAACATGGTGGGGAGTCCAGAGGAACGTTACATCAAAGAAAGTGCAATGGGTGTTCGCAAGTCCCTATTTTGCAAAGCAGACTGACCCTGATTTATTCAAACAAAGAGTCAGCATGGATGGGCAGAAATCCCCTTCTGCTTTACTCATGAAGTACATGAATAATGGTCCACCATTGCGTGAAACTTATTGATATCTAGCAACATGTATATACCACTGAGTATGCCACCAATGGTCTTGCAGAACACTCCATCTCTACAGTAAGCATTATAGTCCAATCAGTAAATAGTGTGGGTTTGAGGCAAAGCATATCTGATCAGGCAACACCCGCCACAGAGTGGGATCCCATTATCAGTGATAAAAAAAAAGTGGTCTCTGAAAAGAAAACATAAATGAATGGAAGTGATAATATTTACTCCAGTCAAAGGTGAACAGATGTGTGTAGAATCACAATGGGAAAAGAGATGATTGACACCTGAGGAAGATACAGCCAGATCTTGCAGATAATGAGCAATGAAGATATTGGGAGTAGTCCATATTCCGGCCTGAACGATCTTCTCCAATGAACAGTAAAGATGAGCAGCCAAAGACATTGTGAGATGATAAATTTGATGAGAAAAAAAAATGTTGTGGAGATGGTGCCCTTCCATGGGTGTGTCTGAATATGCCAGCCTAACGAGTTGATGAATCTAACCAGTGAGCGTGATGGGATAGAGCACGGGAAACAGAGGGATTCCAGGGAATAAAAAGTCAGGAATGAGAACTTTGAAATGAGGCAATATGTGCCACAAAACACCATAAGGAGCAAACTGAACAAAGAAGCCAATCAGGATCAGAATAGGAGTACAGGTGAGAGATGGAAGGTAAGGAAATGGGTGCTAAAGCCAAACAGCCATCACAGGCAGCATAGGTCATTCCTAGGAAGGAGTGGTTAGAATATAGAATGTCATAAGAGGAATGGTAGAGGATGCAGGTAACATTAATGGCATAAATATCTGATCGATGACACCTGCAAGCAAGGAGGAGAAAGAAACAGGTCTTGAGGGAAAGATGGTACTTGGAACACATGTACAAAGTTTCAAAGGGAGGACAGGAAAGGACCACAATGAGATTCCAATCAGGCAAGTCAAAGGAAACATGGAGGGCACTTGATTTGAAAGGAGTGGAAAATGTGGGAAAAGACAAAAACCTTATGAAACTTGGAAAAAACTGAAGTTATTTGACAAGACCACCCAATAGCTAGACACAGTCAAAGTGGACAAACCTTTGTCAAAAAACCAGGTGAATAATTGGGAAAGATGAGGTATGGAAGGTTGGGAAGGGCAGAAACCTTATCAAACTGACCAAAAAGGCTGAAGATGGAAAGATGCAACATGTGGAGTCAGTCCCTGAGCTGAAGCAATGGACCTGACAAAAGCCATGCGTGAAAGCAGAGCGTAGTGACATCTGGATCAACAATGGCTGATTGAGGTTGATGGAATAGAGACCGAGACACATGCTAGTGCTTGAACTAGAACAGGTTGGCTTAGGAAACAAGCACAGGTAGTATATAGTAACACATGCAAGTGCTTGAACTAGAACAGGTTGGCTTAGGAAACAAGCACAGGTAGTATCTAGTAAGACATGCCAGTGCTTGAACTAGAACAGGTAAGGGTAGAAGTGGTTGTACAAGTATAGTTTGTAGCAGTGGGAACCACAGTTGGGCTGACCAAAACAGAGCCACAAGTAGGACTAGACACAGAGTGGTTTGGATTAGGGATGTAACTCTGGAGAGGAGTCGACCAGGAGGGTAAGCATAGTTATGAAGACCCCTTCCATCTTGAATGAATGCACTTGCCCCCAGAGTTAGCAGGTGTGGAACAGGAGACCAAAAGGAAGGAAGTTTGGTGTACCAGTGAGTGGCAAAAGCATATATAAGATGTTCCCAGCTGGGAACTCACCCACCGAAAGACCTGTGGATTGAGGAACCACTTTATAAGGAGAATCTTGTTGGGACGAGATAATCAATCCACAACCAGATTCAGGGCACCAGGAACATGGCAAACTAAGACCACAATGTGGTGGCTGTGGGCCCAAAAAAAGAGATCCATGATATGAAAGCAAAGAGACCTGGAATTGGTACATCCTTCTTTGGTGATAAAAGTGACCACTGTGAAGTTGACGAAGTATGTAATAAAAATGAACACACAAACCGATGAAACTTACTGAGAAAACAAAGTAATAATCAATATCTAACTTACAATTCATTTAAATTAACATAGATAACAAAGGACACATAAGTAAGGCCAACATTGATGATAATTAAGATTGTAATGCACAAATTTAACAATGGCAAGGAAAACAATTAGTCAGATAGAACAATGACTCAGATGTGACTAGTAGTAATGATATTTAACTTACAAGCTATCTAAACATACATAATTAGAATATTTATTATTATTGAACTGACATACCCTAGAAATTTACTGAGTCTACAAGGTACATTATATTAACGAACGTGCAAAATGACTAAAATTATCTAGAAGAACAAAATAATAAACAATATCTAACTTACCAAAATCTAATCATTGATGATGTGAAATACTTAAATCTCCCATGTGTAAAGAAAGACAAAGTCACACAAAGGGCATCTGAGCCATGCCTACCACGGGAATATACACCATGTGTGAAGTGTACACGTTGAAAACTTACCATAGAACCAATTGGAGAACTGGAAGCAATATAATGAAAGGATGAGAAAAAAGAACCTCCACCAAAGTGAACGACATGGCAGCCGGAGTAGGAAAAAGAAAACTAGTGAAATCACCCACATTTCATATATACAGCTAAACCAGAATATGCACCGATCAAAGACATTATTAACTAGCTGTAAAAAAATGGAAGGGTAAAAGTCCTGAAGAGGTGTAGAGTGTGACAGACCAAAATAAAAAGTACCAGAAAAAGAAAGTCCAAATAGCCTTCTCCTCGATTGTATACTTCCTCAGAAACATTGTCAAGTTGAAAATAAGAAGAAATCACCATCCACACATATGAATCTGGCTCCCTGCAAATAAAGGCCTGTACTTCCTCTGCAGATAAAGTCAAACCTGATTCCTGGGAAGTCATACCTGTAGCGTTTTGACTGTAATGGAATTTACAAAGTCGATACACTAATCTCAAATTCATGCTGAGATTTCTTAGAATTCGTTAACACAAATCAAATGCAAAAAAATAAAATAAAAAATTGTTGAAACAATTGAATGTAAACACAATAAAATAAAACTTAAAAAAAAAAAAAGATTTGAAATGGCAAATAAGCACAATCATACACAGGAGCCACAAGCAAAAAATACACATCTAAACAATGCTGTGCCAATTGAGAATATAGGTACCAATATAGGTAGTGCTATACTATTGTTTGAGAGTAGTCAAATGCTATGTAGTATATGTTCAATAGTGGCGTGAAATTGGTGGGGGTATATAGACTGGTGCACTGAGCATGAAAAATTTTTCAGCAATGCTTAGGGGGCAGAAAGAAAATCGAGGTAGCTTTGTGTGAGAGAGGTAAGACTGTATCAAAAGATTCTTGTACTGAAAAGGATACTAGTATATATATATACAAGAGATGATGTGCTACTTTGGGCACATAATTAGATTTGAGGGTACATTGGTAGAGATCCTATTGAATAATAAAATTAAATCGTGTATTTGCACATCCAACGCTTAGTATTGCTGATGTACAAAAATATAGCTAATAAAAGGGAAACAAACAAGTATGGTAAAAAAATTATTAAATTTTATAAAGACAAGTAGGGATCAATACACATGTAACCTAGCTAACTATAGTAATATAGAAAGATTTAATGCTACAAAAAGTATTGAAACATGAAAATCAAAACTACAAAAACTGAGTTACTTAAAATTGAAAAAAAATTATCTCTACTTTGGCTCAGACTACTATAATTACAGTGATTTGATCAGACTACTATAATTACAGTGATTTGCCAAAGTATAAATGAAATGTTTTAAATTCTATGTAACTCAGTTTTTGTAGTTTGATTTTCTTATATAAGAATTATATAAGACTAGAATAACTACATGTAACCAGGGTATTAAACTTTACATGGCATATATAGTTGTTGTTTTGAGCACAGTACAACAAGAATTAATGTTAATTTTAATTCTAATATGTATGTTTTTCTTTCCATTAAACTTGTTCTAACAATAAACAGTTATCTTGAATACAAGGTTGTTTTTCTTACCTTTGGTAATTGCATCCAGAACTCCTCCTTTTTCCAAATATTTTTTGAATTCTTCACGTTTAGAATCTTGTGGCTGAGTAAAAGCCTGCAATGAAATAGAATTTAGAAGAAAAAAAACAGAATGCATATACAACATTTTAATGATCTGAGAGTCTGGGATGCATGATTAATTCTGTATTGACAACTGCTGATAATCCTATTCATGCTGTAGTTCTACATTTATAATAATAAAAGATCATGTCTATGTGTGTGACTGCCATAGCTCCAAGAAGAAAGAACCTAGAAACCTGAAATTTTGCACCCATAGTAAGTGGACCCTGATGGTTTGCATCTGAGTATTATTACTTACCCACATGCGAGCTCACATGCGCAACTTTTTAATGAGCCAAACTAGCAAAAACCACATAGAAAAGAAGTGGTTCCTTATATTACAAATATAAATCACAGACAGGCTCTTATATTATAAACTAGTATATAGCCTGTCAAAAAAGTAACATGGTATGTAGTAAAGATTATTGTTTTGTACAGTAACATGGTGTG